CCGGACCCGCCGGCAGCCCCCTGCGACCCCACTGGGGGCTCCCCCGACTTGCACCCCCGAGCTGCTGCCCGCAGCCTCCAGCTCACACCAGTTACGCCAGCGACAGGAGAGAGGAGGAGCTGGGTGGACACTCAGTTTCTCAGGCAGAGCTGAGATGAGAAACTGGGTGCCCACCTCAGGGTCAACCCCGCTCGTCGGCTGGCACACCCGGGGGAAGGCTGTCCCCCTCCTCCGCAGCCTGTCCCCAGACCGGGCCTCATCCGAGCGGTCGGTAATTCCTTGCAGCATCTCCCGGGCGGCGGCTCCCCTCCAGCAGGCCTTACATGTTCCCTCAGCCTACAAAAAGGGGCTGCAGGTGATGGCAGCCGCGTCCCTGACTTGCGGCAGCCCGGCTGAGGGGTGACAACGGGAATTTCCCGGGGATCATGGAGAGGACATAATGGGGAGACTCTGCTCCCTTCCACACTTCCCGGAGCGTCTGTTTGTGTCACTAGTATTGGGATAACACTGCCCATTTAGAGCTGCGATTTTGTTCTTTAATATGTTTTTAAAGAATAGAAATAAGAACAATATCCCGAGGAATGTTCGCAGCTGGCTCCAGCAGAGGAACAGGGCATGGAGGCTCTGGCAGGGCCCGCAGAGGGCATGGCCGGCTCTGCTCAGGATGGACGTACCTCGAAGGGGTATCTATATGTCCGGGCAAAACTTTGAAGGGGATTTCTCTCCGCTCAGCCCCTGAACACGGCCCTGAACACTCCAGCTCCCGCCGGGGTCGCGGCGGCTCCGGGCGGCCCCTCTCACGCTCCCTCGCCCCGCTCCCTCCAGGGCGGCCAAGGGGGAGACGGGGCGGGGACCCTCCCCTATTAAAACCAGGTCATTTAAAACCCCTAGGGTTTTCCCGCTGCTCCTGCTTTATCTGGCTGCATTTCCCGGGGAGAAACGTCCCGGGCTCGTTTCGCCCATCCTCTGCCGGCAGTCTCGCACCACCCCCCCCACGAAGGCTCGCTAAGGGGGGTTCCTGTGCCCCGACGGGACGGGCAGCACCTTACCTGTTCTTAGCGGCTGCTGCCCTGTCCCTTTGCCTGCGGTTTTTGAACCAGTTGCCCACTTGCGTGGGAGTAAGTCCCGTGGCCTGAGCCAGTTCCCGCTTTTTGCTGGGGTTGGGGTAAGGGTCCTGCAGGTACCACTCCCGCAGCAAATGCCTCGTCCGCTCCTTGAAGCAATGTGTCTTCTGCTCGCCGTCCCAGATGGTGCGGGGCAGCGGGAACTTCTTCCTCACCCGGTACTTGTCCACCGGCCCCAGGGGTCGACCCCGCAGCTTCTCCGCCTCCTGGTAGTGCGCTTCCAGCCAGAGGGCTTGCAGTTTGGTGTGGGACTCCTTGGTGAACTTGTGGTTCTCCAGGATGTGGTAGAGCTCCCGGTAGTTCCCCGTGTGGAAGGCCACGATGGCCCGGGCTCTCAGCACCGACTCGTTCTTGTTGAGCGCCTCGCAGGCCGCGGGGGCCACGGGCAGGGACCAGAGGAAGCGCCCCAGGCGCTCGATGTCCCCGCTCTCCTCCAGGGTCTCGCATACCCCGGCCACCTGCTGCGGGCTGAAATTGAGGATGGGCAGCTGGAACATGGAGGCGGCGCCGGGCTCCGCTCCGCGCTCCGCGCAACCCCCGGCGATGCCCGCACGCCCCGGCGGCGGGAAGGGGCAGCGCCCCGGCCGCCCCTCGCTCCGCTGCTGCTCCGCCGGCGCCGGCGGAGCTTGCCGCCGGGAGGGACGGCGGGAGGGCGGAGAGGCGATGGGCAGCGCTCGGCCGGCTCCGGAGACTGGGGGCGGTGGCAGGGGCGAGGCGGAGGAGGATGGAGGTGGGAAGGGGGAGGGCAGGGCGCGCGGTGGGGGAAGGAGGCGAAGGGGGGAAAAAAAAAGGCGGAAAAAAGAAGAAGCTAGCCAGGAAAAAAAAAAAAAAAAAGAGAAAGCAGAAAAGGCACAAGCGCAGCTCCGCGCCGTCCGCCGCGCTGCCTGCGGGAGCGGCTGATTCGCTGCGGAATCGGCAGATTGGCTCCCGGTTTCCATGGCGGGGCTGCCCACCACTGCCAGCCGCCTGCCACAATCACGGCGGGAGGACCCGCACCGCCCCCGCACCGGCTCGCCCCGCCCCGCCTCCCCGCCCCCGCTCCCCCGGACATGCTACCGCGACCGCCGCCCTCCCCCGCGACCGGCGGGCAGCGGCACGGCTCGCCCGGCCGCCCCGGGAGCGGCGGATGCGGGCCGGGAGAGGGCTCCCGCCGCGGGGTGCTGTCGGCAGGTTCAGGGATAGGACGGCCGGGACCCCACCACCCGCCCCGGTAAAGCTGAGGGGTCCGGCCCGGTGATGCTCGCACAGAGCTCGGCGCACCTGCGGGCGGAGAGGGGGATAAAGGCAGAGCTGGGAAATCAGACACAAAAATTGGCCGCATAACAGTGATAATGATTCTGGGAGTGTCAGTGACAATGGATGCAGCGGGAGGACCGCAGGGAGAGCCAATATTTAGGGAAAAACTCTCCCCTTTCCCCCTGTAAGTGACTTCTCATCTTTGTTATGACGAGGAATTATCTGCAAAGAGCCCAGTGCCCTTCCCCGTTCAACTAAAGCTTTATTTATTTATTTTTTTAACGTTTAAAACCTTATTGTTTTCGGCTCAGTGGTCCTGAATAGACGCCGAGAACAGTCGCGAGGAGTGAGAAGTCATTTGTAGGTCAGGAAAGCGACTTAAAGCAGATTTCGGGAATCTTTTGAAATATTGATCACCTCGTAGTGATCATTCCTCCCGGGCTTCTTTCCCCCCGAGCCCCGAGAAAGGGACTGCGGGGCTGGGTGCGAGGTGAGACCCGGACGCCTCTTCGGAGGAGCCGGGCCAGCTCCAGTCGTCTCAGGGTGGGATGAAATCATTTTCTGAGCCGCGAGGATACGTTTTATCTTAATAGAAAATCGGGGAATAATCAAGAAGCCACACTTTATTCTAAATATAGCCACTCAGTGGCAATTTCTTCCCGGGAACATTAGGGACCATGCTCGGAAAGGCAGCATATATTTTGAATTAAGCTCAATATGTTCTCCCCTCTGCTCTTTGCAATGCATTTTTCTCTAGAATGCTTGTCAAAAAAATCCCTTCTTAATTTGATATCTTGTTATTGTCTCTTCCCCCCCTTGTTCTTTTTCCTGATTGTTTTTGTTTTCCCTTCTTCCCTTCTTTAAGAAAGCTCCTTTGCTAGTTGCCCGTAGACCGAAATTAAACAGATTTACATTTTCTCCAATCATTTCTCTGCAGAAATGGAGCCGGACTGAGGCTTGCCGTCTTTTCTTTAGTATCAAGTACAATTTGTCTTTTGCTTGTGAAGATTTGGTAAATCAGAAGGCAGATAGATAGCGCAGATGGTCGGAGGTGTCGGGTCAGATTATGGTACGCCTCAGTACAGTGCTAAGCTCATTCTGACGGAAAACCCTGATATTATTTTCACAGATCTACACAGTTCACTTGAAAAAAACCCTTCGAGCCATTTACATCATTTATGTGAGGCTCACAGCTAGCGGGATGGAAAAGCTTTCAATACTGCTCATTTTCATAAAACCCGACAGAGCTGGGGAGACATAAAAGCACACACAAAACTCACGAGTTCAGAGACACTCCACAGAAACTTAAAAAAAAAAAAAAGGAGAGACTTTTCGGCTTCACCTTCACCCAGGTTTGATTTGCCCATCTGCTTAGGGAAAAATAAATAAATATAAATTTAAATGTAATAAATATTTTTTAATAGAGAAGAGGATAATATCATCTATAAATATTGCTGGGTAGAGTCCCCTTCCACCTTTCCGTCCCATCACTGTCCAGTCCATCAGGGAAAAACAGGAATTTTACCAGTTCAACGAAAGATCCCAATTAACCTTTTAGGACAGGAATTTTAAAAGCACCCCAGATCTCCTCGGTATGAGCATCGGGCTTCCCCATCGAGCGGGTGAGAAGGCGGCGACCCCGGCGGCGCCGGGCGCGTCCCCGCGGGCAGGAGCTGCCCCGCTGCCCCCCAGCCCGCCCCGCCGAGCCCTCGGCAGCGTCCCGGGACCGGAATGGTGCAGGAAAACCTCTGCTGTGGGAGAGGTGGAAGAGGGGAAAGCCTGTGTTAATGCCTAGCTAATTTAGAACGGCCAGATGATGATGATGATGGTTACTAATATTACTGAAGGGGTCTTTCTTTTTTTTTTTTTTTTTTTTTTTTTTGCTCCTTTTTTTAAAGAATGCACATGATCTGGCGAGGGAGTTACTGGGCTGCAGCCTAATGACCATGAACAGAGGGAGACAGGCTCCATAATGAAAGCCAGGACTGTAGGCTAAAGAAATGAATCCTCATTAAGAGCAGCTCGCAGGGGCGAGGGGCTGCCCCCCAGCTCCCCAGCCTTTGTTCCCCAGAAACCGGCCCGGATGGGGCGATGCTGGGAGGGGAGAGGGAGAGAAAGAAAAGGCGACACCGATATGGAACCAGGAACCTTGCGTTAACCACTTAAAGGGTGACCTGAAAAGGGAAAGGGGAAGCCATTCCAGCTCCAATGGTTTTACACCCTCTCCAGCTGGGAACGCTGGGGTCTGTATTTGGGAAATGGCACAGTCTGATGAGACTGGCTTGTCCCTGTCTGGAGAAGGTCCTGGGTGTCCTTGTTCTGTGCCACCAGCGCAGAGAGAGAGAGAGTGATCAGCTCCAACGGGGCCTTTCCATTCCTTTTCCACCCCTCTGGGAATTTTATCTCACGCCGGGAACCTACCGCGCAGGTTCCCCGCGCTCGCTGCCTCCGCAGAGCTCTACACCGGCCGGGCTGGGATTTCCCGCTGGAGCGCGACCCGCAGCGACCCCCAGGAGCGACCCCATTCCCGTGGGACGCGGTGCCGCGTCCGGGAAAGCCGAGTCTCCTGCGGCGCCCAAGCTCCTGGCTCAGTCCCCGTGTCTTATTAGAGCTGCCTGTGAGCCTGGGGGGTGCACTCAGGCGTGTCTGCTGAGTTTCGGCCTTTCCCCGCAGTTTATTCTTCCCCCTCTCGCCCCATATAATGGAGACACTACTCGTGACATTAACAGCCGGCAATGACAACTACTTTAATTTAGGTCACGGCTCTGACCCTTGCTACAGGTAGAGTTTACCCTACGTAGATGAACCCACTGGAGAACAAGGAGGAGAACCGCACATGAAAAAATATATATCTCAAAAATACGGCCAGCCATCCATAGCCTCCCGTTGGCCTGCATGGACGCAGTGTGCTCTCCGGCCTCGGGACAGGGCATATTCTCCCCTCCTTAAAGCAAAAATATGCTAAGCAACATACCTATACGCCTTCATATCAGCAGTTATCAGCTGTCTTGGGTCCAAGAATCTAGGTCTCTGGGGATTATTTATCTAGATGGAGCTTCCAAACGCAGCAGAGGTGCGAATGCATTTTTAAAACATTTGACTGGCGTTAAGTATTGCATTAAAAATTAGCCTCGGGAAGGAGAAGCCCCACTTTAAACTCTCGGTAGGATTGTCGGAGATTTGGGAGTTCATTGAGGGATGCTTGCTGGGAGAGCCGGAGTGCACGCAGTCCCTCGGAGGAGTACCTGGAAAATCTGGGATTTTATGGCCTTGGATGTGTCTGGGCAGGACCCGGCCTGGTGCCGCGGAGCGCTGCGGGACGGGCAGGGCTGGAGCGGGCACCGGGAAGCGGCGCTGATCCCTGCTCTCCCCGCGGCTGGCTCTTACCCCGCTCCCCCGGAGCAGGCGGGAGGGATTGTCAGCCCGAGGACAGTGCCCGCTGTCTCCTACAGAAAAGGTTCCTGGAAATGTCAGCCCCTCCGGGGAGCGGGGACGGGGTTCTCGGGAGCGTTTCCCACCGAGTTATCCGGAAGCTTTGGTGGAGGGAGGACCTCAAGCTCAGGATGCTGTGCTGGGGGGTGCTTGGTAGGGAAACGACCCGTGTTTCGATGTGTTTCGCACACTTACCTTATTCTTTTTAAGAGTGCCATGATTGTCAAAATAACAGCCATCAATCACTCATTTTCTTTCTGCGAATAAAGCTACATTTAAAGCTGTGATCTGCTTGACATTAGCAAGAGTGAGCAGGTTGTATCCTCGCTTAAGTTACTGATACCTGTTGAAAGCACCAAAGAGATCCTAAAATGCTGTCGGACAGAGAGAGATGCTCACCCGCTTTCCACTCTCACACCGTATATTCATTAAATCTTTGTCCTTCGGCGTATTATTTAGGGTACTTTTACTACGAAGTGTCAGGCCATGGCTGGTATAACTGATGGTGGAATAAAGACGCAATGAAACGTCAAAAACCTTGAATTATTTTGACATGGGTAAGGAAAGACCTTCCTTGTACAGGGCTCTGGTCAAGACCATGGCTGCAAACGGAAAAGATCTACTACCTAAAATTTATCTTTAGTTCTCTTTAGGGTGTAGCCATGAACCTGGTTTTAAAATCTAAAATCCATCGGGATTTGTTTGGCTGCTGCTTTTACCTGCAGGTAAATACATCTGGCACCAAATCTCCTTTTGCACTGACGTTTTCATATAAAATCTTCAATTTGTTTCTGTCAGTTTCTGTCTGGGTTTTCACTGACAATTTCGACAAAAGCAATAAACAAATTCCCAAAGTATTTAAATAAACCTAACCTTTCCTTTCCTTTCCTTTCCTTTCCTTTCCTTTCCTTTCCTTTCCTTTCCTTTCCTTTCCTTTCCTTTCCTTTCCTTTCCTTTCCTTTCCTTCCCTTTCCTTTCCTTTCCTTTCCTTTCC